TTATTCACCTAAAAATAAAAAATACAACATATATATAATATAATTCTAATTACACAGGATAATATAAAATCTGTTACTTCGAAAACTGTCAATTCTTTGCATAAGAAGTCGTAGCAAATCCATTAGATGACGAATGAAAATATTTTCGTAAAACACACTAATTATTTTGAGACTTTGCAATTATACATACACACAATAACTGCTCGCACCATGTACGTTATTTTATACCCTCTCATACAATGTCAAATATTGAGTACCGACTTTTCTCCATGGTGTAGGGTTTCTCCAAAACATGTTGTAGTCTGCTACTCCTAAATCGATACACTATTATAATTATTTTTTGAACATACTTATGCCCGCACAGGGTGCGGGCCGGTCACCTAGTTCTAATTAAATGATTAATTTTCTAACTCTTAGTTTCTATTGATTGCGATGACAAAGACTTTTCTTTTTGTATTATCCATTTAAGACATCAATAATTTCTCTACCAATGTGCAAAAGAGAAAACCTCGAATAAAAAACTTTGAACTAAACATAAATTTTACAAAAGCTCTTTTTATTCTATTACATATCAACACATTCTTTTATTACTATTGAAATGGTAAGTAAAACAAATGAGTTAGAACAAAGTTGTTGATAACAACACATAGTCACAATCTCTCCATTTTTTTTGAACAGTCTCTCCATTACTCCTATTCTTTATGCTAATAACTCTTTTGGAGTTTGTAAACCATAGCTGGTAATGCAGAAACAAAATGAATGAACCAGCACATCACATAGAAAGTAATTACCATTGGAAGCAAGACACCACTTGTGAAAAAGAAAAGAAAGAAAGACCCTTGCTTAGGGAACACATAGCAAACTCAGTACTCAATAACATTAAGCAAGAAAGAAAATAGGTTCCACACCGTTCAATCTTGAACTTCTTTGATGAGAAGCTTCTCATCAACTTGTAAAAGTTTAAAGATCAAAAGAATCTCAGTCAGGAAATTCTCAAAATAGAATAGCAGATAATTAAAACCAGATTCTTATGTCCATTGGTAATGACTAAATCATCCTGGAAGAAACTATAGGTTTAAGGAAACTATATAGAGCAATCATTCTCCCTAATCAAACTAAGAATAAACTTCTCATCATGATCTACTTTCCTCGTCACATACTTCCACACAGGAACCAAAGCTCAAACCTTTCGAACGTCTTTCGTAATAGCTATTTCAGTCGCGGGCTCATCTTCTAAAGACTCATTACTTGTACTATTATAATAGATTCTACGAGAACCTTCTTCGAGCAAAACCTTTGAAACAGAACCACCTCGAAGATTCGTTACGAAGTTGGAGTAAGGAACAATGGATGGAGATGGAACAGCTGTTAGACTCAAGAACATAACAAAGTCCAAAGATAACCGCCACTCCGGTATATAACTCTTTTGATATTCTTTATCAAAAACAATCTGAAATCTTCCAATGATGCTTTGAGATTGATTCTCCCAAGTCTCATGCTCAGAAATCGTAATCTAGGCCTAAGAGAAAACCTTCTTCTCGTTCCTTTACTTGTACTATTTTCACCAGAATCACCATTAACCAGTCGCTTAACCTCGCTATTACAATAAAACTGACCAAGTCTACTGTAACTAAACGACAAATTCTTGGTTCGAGCGACACAAACATTAAGCTGACTAATCCTCGAAGACACTGTTCTACTGAATCTCCCGGGAGGATTAACTCCTTAGGGTCGCCCATTACCAGAAGAAGACGATGAAGAAGAAGATATTTTGGTTAGCTATGCGGCTAAAAATGTATCGAAAGAATAATTATAATTTAGGTTTATTTTAAGTTATTAACTCAATGGCATAACTTGGTAATTTTTGAGGAAAACTAAGGGTTATTTTTTTTTTGTACTTCAGTTTTAATATTTTAGATATGTGCACATAATTTATTACTCTGTCCATTAGACTTATAATAATTGTTTCGAACAGGCTTGGGGCAAAATAAGATTTTAGGTGGACAATTGAGAGGAAGATGAAGATAAAATTTGAGTCGTTTGACAAGTGTGGAAAAGAAGGATGTCTATATATTGCGGCGAGTGGGTCATTCTGAGATATATACAATATTGTAGATTTTACCGACATTTTTGAAATGTGGAAGATAAAGTTGCAACAAGACGTGAAGAAAAAAACTAAGGCAAAAGACTTAGGAAAAAGCATGTTTGCTGGCAAATGAACAAAAACACAATGCCACAAAAGAGAGACAGAAGAAAGAGCCTGACAAGTTCGCTAACTAGCCTAAGTTTCTAAGCAAAAGAAGGAAAACGAAAGCGCTTCTGCTCTGAACAATACCAACAGCTTCTTTGCAATCCACTTCTCAAGAATCAACATCATCATCTACTTGTGTTGAAGCCTCTGGGAAGCCACTCTCTGAACCTGCATGACTTTCTTCTGGTTCTTTCACGGTCTCTTCTCTACTGTCAAACAAATCCACCAAGAAACCACTCTTAGATACAGCAGGCTGATCAGGAATAGGTTCAGTTACAAGGGCTGAGGCATTCATTTTCTTGTTGCCAAGCTCTAGCTGAAGCTCCTCTGGCACATCATCATCAACAGGAGAAGCCGATTTCACCTCCGCTCCACGAGGCTGAGCATCTGCAGGAGATTTGTCATCCTCAGTTCCTGGTTGCTTAGTCTCATTCTGAAAGAGTTCAAGGCTGAACGACGAGCTGGATCCCGTGGGTTGTTTTAGATTCGTTGCAGGTGCTGGGAAGAAATCAACGAAAGTAGTCGAACCTTTAGCAAACGAATCTTCAGGTGAAGAAGAAGTGACTGCAACTGCTGTCTTACTTGCTTCACAAGCTTCAGGTCTCAGGAGAGTGTGATCCTCTTTAGGTATATCATCACTAGCAAACTGTGGCATCAGAGAGAGGGTTTGGCCTTCAGTTTCAGTGAGACCATTCATCTCTGTATTATCCATAGGGTGATGATGATTCCTCTCATCACTAGCCGCGGAACCAAGACTCATTGGCTGATTCTCAGGCAGCATAGCAGATTGGTTTTTGTCAATTCGAGGCTCAGAACCTAAGTCACCAGCTTGATTTTTCTCCACATCTGGTGGAGTTGAAGAGGGAGCTTCTCTGACATACATCTTAGCTTGGGGAAACAAATCAGTAGCTGGAGTAAGAGGAGCAACTTTATTTGGTAAGAAAACGATGCCTTTGAGTTGCTTCTCCGTGTCAAGGACCTTTACGTTGAGAAAGTATCCCGCCTCGAAAGAACCTTCAACCACACCAGAGAACACTCTACCTATCAGATTCTCATCAGTGCTAGTAACACCCTGGCCTTCATCTCCGAGAGGACGACCCCTTTTACGCGTATTCGCAAAAGTTGAGCTCGAGCCTTGATTCGTTTGCCCCATCATCTTCCAACTTCAAAATCTTCTTGATTCAACAATTGAGCTCTGCCATAGAAACAGAAACAAATGTAGTTTCATCAATGTGATTATAAATTTTAAAGAAAAGAACCAAAATTTAACGACTATCGTATGTGTATAATAAAGAACATGTTTGTGATTCTTGAGAACAATATCACAGAATTAAAGATAATTCATACATCACCAAACAAAATCACATTAACGAATCAGAGTTTATTAAAAAAAAAAAGCAGTTCAATGCTATGCTCAAGTAGATTTGATATCAACATTTATGGAGGTAAAATAACGAATTAATTTGCTCACTCGCCTTACAATTTACAAGACTATAACCTTGACGCAGTGAAAAAAAAAAAGAGAGACATTTTTGCTAAAAGTAATAGTGGTTAGAAAGATTGATTTAAGTGCACAGTGATCTCAACGCATAGCATATAATTCAAAGTTTTGAAATTAATTGAATACAAACGACTGATACTAGAGAGTATTAAAAAAAAGAAGCAAAGCTGCAGTTCATGAAATTCGAAGAATAAAAGAAAAAAAACAAATACGGCGAGGATCTTTTAACACAGCGAAGGTAGAAACAATCGTAGAATCCATAATCCCCGAAATAAAACACGCAGGAATCAGAAACGCACTCACCTTTTAGGTTTCGCGACGAGGAAAATATACGTATTTGCGTATCCGTAGATTCTTCTTCCTCCTCTTTCTCGTCGCTTCACCTTCTATCGCTCCCTTGGCGTTTTTTGTGGAAATAATAATTAATTAATATTAATTTGAACTTGACGTTTATGGGCCACTAAATGTTTTCCTTATCAAGCCCATTAAACTCTTTCCATAAATGGTTTTAAAAGGCTGTGTGGTAAATGGTAATTAAATCTAATAAATTATTGAGTTTGTTTGGGAAAAAAAAAAGCTGGATATAAAAGCATCTCACAGGAAACGGTTTATTTATATCCGAACTGTGAGTTTCTAGAAATAATAACATACGTAAACTTTTTTTACTATGCTAAAACATACTTAAAATCTTTTTCTGTGTGCAAAAACACGTCTAAATTTTTTTTGTGAGCGAAAACATACCTAAATTATACATTACTAGGTGATTTTCCCGTGCTCATGCACGGACATAAATATTTATAAAATAAATGTATTATAATAATTTATTGATATTTATTTTAAATTTTAAATTATTTATATTTGTAGGTATAATTTATATTAATAATATTATATTAATTTAATTATATAATTTTAGATATGTTATATTTTGTCAGTTTTGTTATTTTTACGGTTGATTTAGTTATCATTTGGATTATTAGATTCTATCTATTTCTTTGAATTCAACTATAATATTTTTTTTATCTTAAATATATTAATTTTTTGATTAATTGTCTTATTTGCATGTATTACTTAAGATTTTTTGTGCTTAGAAAGAAAAAAATAAAAACTAAACTGTTTGATTTTAAATTACATACATAAGTAACTAATACATTTTTGGAAGCTTATAAACACATATCAATATTTATAATATTTAGATTGATTGGATGAAAAACTGAAATTTATTTTAAATAGTTTTAAAAATAAGATTCTGATTTGCTTAAGTATTTTGATTATGGTTATATTAAGTTACACAAACATAAAAGCAGAAAATTAAAAATCAAAAGAGTTATTAAGAAAACATATAATTTTAACAATTAAAATATATTAAATCTACTTCGTTAAATTATATAGTGTTATGATATTTTAAAATAATTTTAGTTATTTAATCAAAAATGTTTATTATTAAAATTTATTTTTAGTTTTGTTTCTAATATATGTTAAAATATGCAGTAAAAAATGTTATTGTTTTCGAGAAATTATATTATATAAGTAATATAGAATTGATATGTTTTGTTGTATTGTGAGATATTATAGTCAAATAAATATACTTATATATATATTCAAAGTAATTATTTTTTGGTATATGTATATCTATTTTATTAGATGATTACATAAAATAATTAAGTAACACAAACTGATATATGTTTAATTGATTTTTTTATAATTTGTATTCTTGAAATATATATATATATATATATATTATTGTTTAAAAATATTTTTTAAAGAAAAAAATATTTCTTTTTCTAATATCAAGATTAATTGTGTGAAATTTTTTTATGGAATCACATTATATACAAATATTGTTTTTCATCTAAGAAGATATAGATAGGACGTATTTTAGTACTTCAAAAGTATATTTTATGTTATTTAAAATATATTTAAATTAAATATTACTATTTGTGAACTTTCCTTTTTTATGAAACCATATTTATATATACATATATTTTCGTTTTAAATAGTTTTGTAAACTTTATAAATGTTTCCTTTTTATTTTATATTGTTATTTAGAAATTTTTGAAAAGGAAATAATAATATTTAAATGTATTTTTTAATTAATTAGGGGTATCATAGTAATCAACCATCGTGAAAGTTAATGTGAGCGCGACAAATAAGAAAGTGACTTCTCAAATAATATTATAGAGATTGGAATTACATACATGAACTTATAAAATTTATGCTAATTGGATATTAACAATATTTAATTATAGTTAACGATACTAACTAGGATAATATGTGGTTGATTAATCAGTTTTACATACAAACATGTTGTATAAAACATGTTGTATAAAAGACCAAAATATCAACACTATTAAATTAGCAACATGACCAATTGATATTAGTTGTATCCAATTTAAAAATATAGCTGCATTGAACTGATTAAATAGAATATATTTTATTTTTATAATAACTGCATCGATCCATAACAATCCATATTTTTGTAACTGCATCAAAGTGTGGTCTCATCATGGGCTTTTTAGATTAAATCAAACACAAATATAATTATAAAAAAAAAACAAATATTAAAATTATGTTTCTCAAACAACAATATATATATATATATACCCGTCTTTCAGAATCTAGGTTTTTATATCGATTATTCTATTTTATTACTAAACAAAATTATTACTATATTTTGCTATTTGTTTTAATAATAACTACTGTTTAATAATAAAATAAAAAATTGATATATGAAATTGCTATGACACAATTGTATAGTTATCCAATATCACAAATTCAATACAATTATCAAAGCCTTTTACATAATAATTTTAAAAAATTATCATACACAAACATATAAATTAAAATTCCAGAAATCTATACTATTAAAAGTAAAGGCACCCTTGAAAAAAATCGACTGATGGAAGTTGTTTGCAACCTCATTAATGGCATTTTGGTAATTTAGTTTTTAGTCTTACATTTATATATATATATCAATTGTTACAAATCATATCGCATATTAAATATACCCGATTTATTATCTCTCTTTCCATTAATTACTCTAACCATATTCCATATTATATTTCATACATTTATATTGTCTTATAAACCTTACACAATTTCAATCTATAGATTGACTACATAATTATTTATTATAATATAAATTAATTATATGGTGTTCAGTTGCTCTCATACTTCTAAATATTTACATATTTATAAAATAAATTTTAATTGTAAATCATAATATATAATTCAATATACTGTATAATAAAATCAACAAAATTTAATATTTTTTATCAAATAAAAATATCTTAAATTATATTTTAATATAGTAATTTAGATATTATATTAAATATAATTTTTTATTATTTTAATATATATTTTAATATTTTGCATTAATAAATTGAAGTATGTTGTAATCTCTATGAATATATGTTGTCATGAATATGTAATTCTTTTAATTTATAGTTTATAAAATAATTTGAATTAAGTTATATATATATATATATTTATTATTGTATTTTAATTATGAATATAAATAATTTATTTATAAATATTATAGTAATGGTATTTCTGATTTAATAAATCCAAATGAATTAAAATTAATTGTAAGAATATTTAAAAGTAATTACATTTTATTATTTAAAATAAATATTAAATAAGAAATATTTATATTTTACAGAAAAATATATTAAAAGATATTGTCAAAATTGCAATATTAGAAAATATCTTAGTAATATCTTTGATATCTGATTTTGAAAATATTTAAATAATATATTAAGATTCTTACTGAATAATAACTAAATTTGTTATATGCAAGATAATTTCAAATATTTTCGTATTAACTTTTCTTCATATGTCGATATATTATCATTCTCATCGTGACATTTAATGGACAAGATACGTTTTGTTCAGAAAATATTGCAAAAAATATTTTCTATAATTATCTTCCTACTCAAATAAATAAATTGCTTCATCTACAAGTTTATAGATTAACCACAATCAATATCGTGGTTAGTTATTCTTTGGTTGGATTCCATAAATTTTGGTAACTTACCGTAGTTGGATTACCATTAACTATTAAACTTTAAACTTCCTATCTAATTCAAAATATCTTCAAAATATATTTCTTATTCCTCGAAAGAGATATTTTTAAAAATCGTCTAAATATTATGCCCTACATTTGCATAACCTAAATGTATATCGTCCCTACCTATTATAAATATAGCTTCTCTTAACCACTATATTCATCATTCCTTGAAAAACCTAAAACAAAAATGGCGAATAATTTGCAGTTGTCTTTCTTGAGCGATACAAAACTGAGAAGACTGCATGTCGCATCCAAGTCAAAATCCTTCATTCATGGAGACATTTCATGAAAGACATAGGGGAGACCATGGAACTAATCCTTTGTGAAGCAAATGTAAGTTTATCGTTTTATATAGATTTATGATTTAGATATCGTCATTTCGTAAAAGTTTAACCTAAAATGAGAATGTTATTTTTTTGTTTATATAGGGAACTAAGATCCATGCCTCGTGAGACATACATTCATGAATTGGCAAAACATATTCGTGTTGGAGTTCGTGGACATTTCGTAAGTTTTATATATTTAATATAAAAGATATAAGCCTATAAACATATTGATTTATAACTTGATATGCAATTCTATAAGTGGTCAGAGATAAGTTTGCTGTCTTTGGGGTAAATTTGCTGAGAATCTTCATACAGCTAGCCAAAAAACAGAAGGCATGGTGATATGTCTTCTACAATTTGCTAAGATTGGACAATATAGAGGCATTCCATGAAAATAAAAACTTATGTTTCGATTTTGTACTAAATGACCATTGTTTATATAGTTGGAAATATGTTTCTACTAACTCAATGTTTTGATCATTCCTTCATTTTCTGTTTTATGTCAGAAGAAATTACTCAAATGCTTATGATTTATTTTTGGTTATAGGTGAGGTCCAAATCTCAAATGCTTATGATGTAAGTAAGGCTGGGAATCTGAGTCATCACCCGCGGGTCCCCCCTCGTTTAACCCCCTGCAGGCGGGTGCGGGTTGAACAATTTGAAAAAATTGATTGGCGGGTGCGGATTCTGAGTATTTTATGCAGGACGGGTGCGGTTTGGTGGATTTTGAATCATGGGTACTCACCAACCCGCAATTTTTTTTTTCTTTTCAATAGTATAGATTTTTCAAATTTACTATGGGTCATGGACCCATCCAATTTTGGTTTCAATTTAATATGTATTTTAATTATTTATACTCTCACAACACTTAATTTTATGATTCTCGGTTCAACCAAAAATTGACTCGGTTATGCAAAACTCAATGAAACTTCCCTACTAAAAAGTTAAATATACATCAAATTTCACATATAAAACTATCATATAA